TATAATTCAGAAAAAGTATTAAATAAATTTTTTTGAATATATTTATAGCTACAATTTTACTTTTTAATCTTAAATCACTAAAAAATAATTATTAATATTTTTAATTATAATAAAACGTATACATATAATATTTAAAATATTATACATAATTTAATCACATTTATTAAGTCTTAGTTTTAATTATAATAAAAATTTTAAATAAAAAATAAAAATGTAGAACTGACAATTATTATAAGCAGTTCATTTAGTAATACTTCCTTGAAGCATAAATTGTAATTAATGTTTTAATTAATTAGTTATTATTATGTTTTGTATTATTATGATATATGTTTCTTTTTTTTTTTTTTACTAATGTTTATTATTATGTTTAAGTGACAGTTGGCATTATAAGAATGGGAAAAAAATCATATTAAAAGTATTGGATTTACAAAAAAGACACAAAGTATGCTGCAAATGATTACACACATTAACGCATATATAAATTTATCATACCAAATATATCCATTTAAGGTAAACATACGGATTTTCCTAGAGATAAATAAAAGAAATAGTGATTATTAATTTTTGTCAACTTACTAATACACAAGTGTCGTAAATTTGTAAAATTTATATACATGCATTTTAAATACGTAGAAAATGATTTAATAATAAATTTTTAAAATATAAAACAATATATTTACACAATAATATTGTGCTCCCTTTTGTATTGTCCATTATTATGTTTAACTTTTGTTTGACGTAATTAAAGCATATGAAAATATATGTTAAGGTTAGGAAAAAAATACAAGTCGGATGTCATAAATAACTTTACATGTTAATTAGTTATAAACTTATTATATCAAATATTTCAATATTGATAAGTGATTAGTAATGTTTGCAATGTCAACATAGGATAGACTATTTAGAGTGTATAATTTGATATGAAATTATTTTATAAATATTTTTATTAAAATCATAACTATAAAATAATTTAATATAATAATGAAGGATCAACGAAATAAGTAAAAGGATAAAAGTATAACAATGTAATTATGCTCTAGGGATTAAGATGCTTTTAAAATTGTTGGATTAAAAGAAATAGCACAAGAAAATAACTCTTCTCCTTTATGGAAGAGTATAGGGTTTGTTTGGGACTATTTTTATAAAGGTCTAGGTTGGATTATTGGAGATGGCATGACTGTTAGGTTTTGGCAAGATAGCTGGATCCTTGACAATAAGGTTCTGTCTAGTATTGTTGTCCAGTCTATTCCTGAGAGCTTGGTTAATGACCCGGTGGCTCTAATTATCACCTAGAATAACTGAGATTGGAATAAATTTAGGAATCTCATCCCTAGGTCTAGCTGGGATATGTTTGCTTCTCTGAACCCTCCATCTCTAAATGATAGTCAGGATCAGGTGTATTGGAAATTAACTAACAATGGTTTATTTTCTATAAAATCTGCTTATAATCTAATTTTTAATAATGTTGTTCCTGTTACTTATCAGGATAATATTTTTTATCTGATTTGGAATTAGGGAGAGCTTCCTAGAATAATTTCCTTTTTATGGAAAATTGCTCATGGTCAGCTAATGAGGAAAGATTTCATAGGAATATGACAGCTTCTCCTCTTTGTTCCCGTTGTATGGAAGCCTTTGAATCTATTATTTATGTTCTTAGGGACTGTTAGGCTGCCAATGATATTTAGAATCAAATTCTCCCTTCTAATACGTGGTCTTCCTTTTTTAGTTTGGGTTTGGATAGATGGCTGATTTTTAATTTATCAAAACATAATTTTCCAAAGTACCCTATTTGACATATAGTTTTTGGTTATGTTGTCTGAAATCTCTGGAATAATAGAAATAAGGCCATCTTCCAAGATGGTACTTTGAATAATAAAGGTCTGCTATATAAAATCTTGTTGGATATTGATTATTTTCTCTTTGCTTTTAGGCCTGTTAATCAGTCTTATTCTGCTTTTGGTGGTTGCACTCGTGAGGTGAAATGGCAGCCGCCCTTGGAAAACCAATTCAAGCTTAATGTTGATGGGTCAGTTTCTTAGGATGTAAGAATGGCTAGCTGTGGGGGTCTTATAAAAAATCACAAGGGAGATTTCACTGCTGGTTTCCATCAGGTTTTGGATTATTGTCATCCAACAACAGTTGAACTTTGGAGTATATTGTGGGGTTTGAAGTTAGTTATTTCTAAGAGTATCCATTCTCTTTGGATAGAATGTGACTCTAAATATGCTTTAATGCTTGTAGCTAATATCCAAAACTGTAATCATTCCTTTTATCCTATTATTAGTAATATTAAGGATCTTCTTAAAAAGATCAAGTTTGTTAGGTTTAGTCATGTCTTTAGAGAGGTTAATCAGTGCGCTAATTGTTTAGCTAGAGCTGACCTTGATCATGAGTTGCAGGCCTCTGTTTTTGATAGGCTCCTATTTTTCTGTCGCTTTTCTTTAAACTTGATGTGTTAGGTACTTTGTGGCAAAGGCGCAGTGCTTAGTTTATTGTTTTGGGCTTCTAGCCCCGTTTTAAAACAAAAAAAAATGTTAAAATGGTGATGATAATATACAATGATACATAATATGATGAAAAGTTATAATAATCCCTGTGATATATGCAACATAATTTTTTATTATTCGGGATTTGGTCAACGGGAGCCATTTATCGGTTGAAAAACTCCTGATTTGTCTTGTTCTACGCAATGCAGTTGACATGGATCTACGTGGATATGTAAATTCGATCAATCTGATCCGAACATAAAAAGTGGATTAAATTAGGTATTGTTTAAATAGTATAAATATGGACTTAGGTTATAGGACAATTAACTTTTAACAGCTCAATTAAATTAATTTTTTTATACTAATATTTTCATCGATGCATTGTAATACTACCTTAATTTTTAATTTATAGTTGTCCAAAAAAAATTAAAAAACTTTTTTTCTCTCGTTGATAATATTTTTTTATAACAAAAGTTTTATTTTTAAATAAAGTCTTTTGGTCTCTTATTTATTTTTTCTGACAAAAATAAAAGAAAAAGAAGAATGAACCAAAAAGAAAAAGAAAATTTAATATTTAACACAATTTTGACTAATATGGATGATAACTATGCTAATATTACTCAAAATTGTGTGACGAAACATTCTTTACTCTTAATCATCGATTTAAATTTTTAAAATGAGTATTAGCACTTATTAGAATGATACTCATTTAAAAAAAATAAAAAATTAACCATCATCCTATTATAAGACAATATTCATGTTACATGTTAAAAATATTCTGAACAGAGAATATATTTTTCAAATATCTAGCTATTTATGTAATTTTTTAAAATTAACTATAAATAAGAAAAAAAAACACTTAATAATAATCTTTAATTTTTCTACAACAATTTTCTACTATTAATCTTCATAAATATTGAATATTATTTATTTTCTAATTTATCGTATTAATTGTTAAATATATTTATGTCTTTATTTATTACTTTCATTTTTAATACAATATCAAGATAATTAATCAACGAAATTAGTTCAAGTAATACTTAATTTGAAAACATGACATATTATTCTTCCATTATATAATAATTTTAGGCGAAAACATTGTGAAGATGATTATTAATAAGAAGATATGGTAATAAGAAAAAGCAATTTTATTCTATAAAAGAATCAATACATATCAACGACGTGTCAACTTGAGTTTCATAGTTATCGGGAAGGTTGACGGCTAAGTGACAGATATGGTATAAATGCAACGAGATGGAAAGTGGTTCTGCTCCATTTACAATCATGGTCGATTATTTCGAGTCTCAAAGAAACAGAACATGGAACAAGCTACATTTGCTCATTATTTCAACACTTTTGTCTTATGTTATGAGAAACAGAAACACGAAAATGTTATGTTACAAAGAGGACATATATAATATTTAATATTATCGATATATTAAATTTTATAACATTATATAATTTTTAACATTAACATATCATATATTAATTTTCATTTTCTGTTATTAAGTACTCATTAAAAAAATATAAAATAAAAGCCATTACCATAACTTAATGAAAATTTATAAAAATAACTCATAATAATTTTTTATTTAATTAAAATATAATAATTTGAGTGAATTTTATTTTTATACTATTTAATATTTGATTTAAAACCAATTTAACTTATCATAAATGAGTTAGTTTGACTCAAGTTATGGAATTTATATTTAAAAAATAAAAATTTATATATATACTCAACTTGACTCATTAATTTTAGTTTGAGTTGAGTTAATCGAATTTATTTGCCTTGTAAACACTTGTGCTCAAATTAAACTTATTTATCTCAAATCTTTCTCTTGGCAAGGAAATGCATATGCATTTCTAAAAATATTCGTTCAATAAATATATTTTTATATAAATTATTTATTAATATATTTTTTATTTTTCTCTTTCCATTCCACGTACTTTACATTCATTTATTTGATATAAAAATATTTATTTTTATTTTCATTTATTTATTATCACTTATATTTAAATATATATTTTTACCACAAGTATGTGAATCAACTGACACATATTGTTCCATCTTAACTTTGAAAAAATAATATTTTTTCTTCTAAAATACACGTATTTTTCAATTTTCTCTTCCCATTCCACGTAGTTTACATTTATTTACATGATTTCCTGTTCATCTAGAATCTGCCCTCACATGTACATGGAGATTTTCGACAGGGACACGAAAAACAAAGATGAAGATCCTCACGGGAATCGATATCTTGAATAACATGAAAGAGTGTATATATGCCGGCAATACGGGGATGATCCCTATTAGGCTATAGTCAATTTGAATCATATTCCAAGATATGTTGCTTGGTTGCTTCCTTATCAAGTTTGCAATGAAGACAGATCATTCACTTTGTTATTGCCGCACACTCTCTCCCACCTCCTCTATATTAATACCCTTCTCTCATAGTTATTCTCTCCTTTGGCTTCGGCCACTATTTTCTCATGTAATGAGAAAGAGCACAAAATATGAAGAATCAACATCGGAATAAACAAAGGGTATTTGAGAGTAATCAACAAGATTATATCAGCAAACTTCCCAACAGCATATTATGCAACATTTTATCTTTCCTTAAGGTAAAGGAAGCTGTGAAGACCAGTGTTCTATCATCCAAATGGAGACACACTTATGCCAACCCAACAAACCTTGTTTTGGATGCAGACAACATGTTAAAGGGAGAGTACACTGACCCCAACATTTTCTTGAGAAATGTCAACCAATACTTGTCACGAGTTAAAAATGTCCAAAAGATTGACAAGTTGAAGGTTTGCTCCACATTTAGCCACAACAATGGATACACTGATCTTGATGAATGGATTCGTTTTGCCACTAAAAGAAATGTAGAGGAAGTTGATCTTTGCTTGTTGGAAGAGAATCAGCCAATAGGCACTTCAAATTATGGCACGCTCTATGTTTTCCCTTGTGATATTGTTGGTAATGAGGGTGCAAGTGCAAGTGGCAAGTCATTCCTGAAGTGTCTGCGGTTGGCACATTGTGTACTAGCACCCCACAAGTACCATAACTCTGGCTTTAGTAAACTCACAACACTAGAACTCTTGAAAGTGGATTTGAAAGCCGAGGTGCATGTTCATATTTTGTTGTCTAGCTGCAACAACCTTGAATGGTTGGCATTCTCCAAGTGTTACAAGTTTGAGTGCCTGAAAATAGAGCACCAGAAGTTGAAGTACCTGAATGTGAATCTTTGTGCTCAATTGAAGGCACTTGTGATCCACAGCACCAGTTTGGAGACCTTGGAATATAAAGGATGCAGAATTAAGTTTGAATTTGTTGCTCCAAGACTTAAAACTTTCTTCAGTCGTGTGAGTGATTCTACTGCTTGTCATAGAGAGGTTTGGCCATTCTTCAGCCTTTCTGTTGATCTTCCTCAAATGGAATCTCTGATGCTGGAATGCAGTTGTCAGATGGTAAGTGGTTTTCAAGTGTCATTTTTTCACATAGTTACAAATGTTTGCCATATTTTTCTTTGTGGTTTTCTGTTTTTCAGGGTGAGGTTATGACTAACAGATTGCCAACATTTCCAAGTTTGAGGCATTTAGAAGTTATTAAAGTGGCCGTAAAGCGACAAGACCTCCGGTGGGTAGCCAAAATTCTGAACGCATGTCCAATGCTCGGAAGACTAGAGCTTCATGTAAGTTTCTTTTTTCCAAAATTATTTTAAAATATGATCCTCAGATTTACCAATTTACATGAGTATGTAATCTTCAGGGGTGGTGTTTTCCATCAATTAGGAGGAATTTTGGCAAACAAAATTAAAATGCTCTTAGCTAACATCAACAACCACATTAAAAAGGATATTTTGGAATAATTAGTTTCCAATGGATTATATTAACATGGTTTTGTTAACTTCAAAATTTTATGAAAAGCTATAAAATTTAATTATCTTTTTAATAAAAAAAATTCCACTTTTAATTATTTACCGCGAATGATCTCGCTGGAAATCTCCTTTCCCTTGGTAAATGTAACAGCAGCATATATTGACACACATGGTACTGTCAAAGGCATATTTTTCTAGCATATGATCATGAACACCTTCAAAATCAGCTGTTTTGAGATAAAATATATTATATCTTTTCAAACTAAAGAAACGGTAAAATGTTATCTCAGAATTTAACTATTTTTATTGATAATTTATATTTATATCTGTCTAATTTTTGCAGCTAAGGACCTACGTTTGTATTGATGAAGAATTAAGGGAAATAAATTTTCCTCCTAGATGCCTCCACAACCATCTCAAAGAAGTAACAATAACCGGCGTTAGAGGTCACTCTAGTGAAATTGCAATTGCAATCTATCTTCTAAACAACGCAATTGCACTTGAGAAGATGACAGTAGATCCACGTGGAAGAAACTACCTTGGGAATGGTAAATGGTATCACTCAGAAGCTGAGAATTGGAGCACGGAGGTTAGGCAGAAGATTCATAAACATCTTGAGCAACAAGCTAGTTCAGCAGTGGAATTATTGATCAAGTAAACAAAAGTGATGCAGGAAATTAAGTGGAAACTTGTTTAGCACAAGTGCTAAAATCCTCACCAAGACAAGAAAGAATGTGGAGAGAATGTGAAGGCATTATTATAGCTAGCTAAATAGGAACATAACTAGTAATATTGTGAACTTTTAGTTTGTGGTTCACAATGATGCAATAATTAGTTGTAAAATGTAAAATGACACTACCTTATCCCAGAGTTCGGTTGAACTAATGGGAGTTTCCCCAAACACTTCAGTGAAACGAAATGTTGTTCCTTAGTTTTCAATGTACAAATAGTCATGCAAATATGCAATGAATAAAATAAACTTGGTTCATATATGCTGTTCAGTGTTAGCTGTACCCCAAAGTTCCCCCAAACACTTCACTAGAGTGATGAGGACTAATCTTACTAATGGGTAATAAATTGAATTAGCCCCACGTGTGAAGTGTTCAGAGGAACTCCATGGGACAACTAACATTTAGTCCCTGAGTCTCATGGCAGGGCAATGCACACAAAGGATTCTATTTATAGTGGAAAAATATGACAAGAGAACTAAATAATGGAGAATTTATGTGGACTTGGAAGAAATATGTCTAAATTAAGTTTCTGTTCACCACTGAACCTGGCCCGGATGGCTGCTAAGAAGGAGAGAATTGCAATGGATGACATAGTGGCTTTGTTGCTGGTAAAGTGATTCTAACCATCAAAAGCTAACAGAAGATTAGTTCTCAATCCCTTTCAGTCGTTGTCATAGTCATGAATTTTGTTTACTCAGACGAGTCATTTGCAGCTAGATAAAAGAAAACAACTATAACATTCACACCTCCTTTACATAGATATATATTCCAGCTAACACTTTCTTGGTTTAATTTTAATATATTATCTCACTTTGTCAGATTTTTATATTATTAATCAATTTGTAAATTACTTTTAATATTAATTTTAACATAAATATTTAAAAAATAATAATTTTTGAGTTCTCTCATTACATGAAACAGTTATTGTTAAAATGTTTCATATTAGTTAAAAATAGTAGCAGTGCTGAATGATGTACACTATAATCTGAGCAGAAAGAGAAAGAAAATCCGCATTTGGCATACCATAGGCTTTAATTATAGGATACCCTGAGCAGCGTCCTTTAAAATTGATAAGGAAAAAAGACAAAAAACCTTTTCAACGGGGGAAAAAGGTGGTGCCTTTAAAATAAAATTGAGCCAACGGTAGCATTTTTATGGGACTGGTGCTTCTTGTCCTTTTTTACTACTAACTATGGTATACAGTTATGATATCAACAATGTATTGTTTAGCTCAGCTTTTGAATCAGAAATGAAGTTATGAGATCATCAATGTCCGTGTAATCTCGATACCAACTATTCGTACTTTACTGGCCCAAGTATTATTGTTTTATATTTAAAGAAAGAATAGTTTTATAACAAAATTAGAAGTCGTTACTTCAGTCTTAATTATTATTCATCTTAAATATCTAACAATTTAATATTTTTTTCCTATATTGTATGAATATTATTATTTACAAAATATAAAAATTATAATTTTTTAAAAATTTAATAAGGCTTTGAAAATTAGTTTTAATTATTATAAATAAATATTCTATTATATCAAACCCTAAGATTTGAGCTCTAAATTAAGCTTAAATTAAATTTAAACCTTTTAAATATCAATTTAAACTTACAAAAGTCCATATAAAAGCCTAAGATTTCATTGAGTTTGGACACAATTCTTGCAAGTCCAAATTGGATTCGATTTTTTTTTCAAACCAATAAAGTTTCTTTCTCTCTCTTCAAAAAAAGTATATTAAAAAAATTATATATAAATATAGTTTCCTTAAAATATGCTAAGGTATATCGATTTATTGTTTAGAAGGAGTGTGGTATTAAGTGATATACTATGACACTTTATTATAGACATCAAATTTTATTTAATAAAAAAGAATGTAACAGAAAAATAGATTGGTATTTGTTAACCTTTCTCACTGCTAATTGCTAAAAGAAAAAAGAGAGGTTAAGGGTCAAAGATTTATGTACGTGGTTCTGTTCTAACTATAGCCAAAAACACTAGCATAATTATTAAAAAAAAAAGTGCTACATCTGCACCAGCGCATCGGATTGAAGACGCATTTTGTGATTTAAAAGTTGAAATTCACACACTTTGACGTACTAGATTCCATTTAACCCTTGTTTGTATTTACTCATAAAAGCTGAAAAGGAAAGCTTTAAACAGAGGAGAAAGGGAAGACATGCGCAACATGGCATGTGGCCACTCAATATCATGTCCTTACAATATTCTCATTCTTAGAAGTTCAAATCTCTATGGACCAATGTTGCGTCCAGGTTCACTTACTTGCATCTTTCACACTGTTCCAATGAACTAAAGCAACATTTGCAGCTTAGTGCAAAGAGCTTAAGCTATTATAAATAGTGAGGTGAGGCACACTATTCCCATGCAATGATTTTTGCATAACACTTCATCAGGTGTCACCTAGTGTTCCCTCCATCACTTCAACGAGGAGACTCTTTCCAAATTATCCTCTCTCTGAAGTGTTTGGGGGAACCCCTGGTAACATTTGATAATAGTTTATTGCTACACAAAGAAAACGACACTAATTTCCAATTTGTAGCAGTTCATCTTCATTTCTTACAAGTTATACATGCATTAATGATTGTAACCTTCTCCCTTTTTTGCTTATTATTCTTATATTTTTATTATTATATACATACATACATACATTTTAAGAATACACCAAAATGGTATTTTGTTGCTTTGTTTTTATAATCTCTGAAGCTTGTTTATATAAAATAAGAGAAACTCTATTTGATAAAAAAAAAAGGCACTTGCAGGTGTCTCCTCTACAATATTTGCCCTGTTAAGAGTTCAGAGCTTGGTAAATCTTTTAGAAATGCACATCTTCAATAACATCTATCAGAAAATAATTTTTTAAATATTATTTCAGAGAATTAAAAAATAAAACAAAACATTTTAAGATGCATAATTTTCAATATGCATTATTTTTTTACACTACAATTCTGATAGACATTACCGAGCTATTCGTACATGTGAGAAAGCATTCTGTCTTGGGTAGTGTCGTATTTACAGTCAGGTACAGCTTTTATCCAAACAAATTATGAAATTAATGTTTTCAGTGTTTAAATTATTTATTAACATATCATTCTTATTATTTCAACAAATAAAAATTAGTATCATATATAATAATGTATATTATTTTTATCTCACTTTTTACTTTTTTATACATTTATTTAAAAAAAAAATTATGCAAAGCTTAAAATATTAAAAAATATACCACTTCAAATATATAAATATATATATTTTATGTTATCATTTTTGCCGCGTGAATTTTCTTTTGCAATGTGAACGCATTGAGGATGAGGGTCGGGAGTACCTGCCCTTCAACTCTACTTATTTAATAAAAAATATTTTCAGCTTATTAAAAAATAAATTTTTAGTTTATATGTGTGTCTAGGAAACATATTAAATGAAAATATTTTTTAATGTAAAAATGCATAAATAAACATCAACTATTAGATTTTATTATAAACAATCATGATTAAAATATAAAGGTTATGTAACATTTTAAAAAAGTCACGTAACTTATGAATACTGTGAGGTAGGATTGAATAGTTTAAAGCTATTATACTACTACTTGCAATCGAAAGAGAAGATAGATGAAACAATGTGAATGAGTAAAATATAAAATGAAATTAGCAAAGAAAACATAAATGGCTGAAAAATGTAAATTGAATCGATAAAATATAGTCATAGACTTATACCATTGTGAAATGCAAAGTGAATACAGAAAAATGGGAACCATTTCTCTGTTAGAAGACAACACTGTGCACCTAAAGGAAGGGAAGAGATGGGCAAGAAGCAGCAACAATGGTGGGATTTTCAGAGGGAGACACCAACACTGCTCTTTTGCTCTCAGATTTTGCGTTTTTTTTTTTTTTAAATTGTCGGGTGAATGCTCATCCTTAATTAATCATATATATGAATTTCACGTAATTTCAACGTTTATACCAATTTATCCTAAATTTAATATTTATTTATATTTTAAAAATATATTATATATATTAAAATATAGCACTTTGATAAAGTATTTACTAATTTTATTTTGATATAAAATTTTACAAAATTAATCTTCTTTATTTGTTAATTTTATATTCTATAAAAAATTATTAAATAAAAATGTTAAAATGGAATACTTGATATCAACAGATTTATAAAATATATTTGTTAAGTATGAGCTATAATAATAACAATCATTATTAATTAACTTCTTGAACATGTAACAAGGCCATAATGGTTAAAATAGGTGAAGTATTTGAAAAAATTGCACGGAATAATTCTTGAAAAATAAAATATTCAACCTGAGTAAAACTGGTTTATATACGTATAACATATTAATGTTTGCCTTGTCGTGAAATCAATCAAATCATTTCGGAAACAATTAATGGTTTGCGATATCAAGTAAATCAATTAACCAAATATTTAATTAGGAATAAAATTAATGTGTCAAAATGATTAATAAATCCGATAAAAAATAAATTTTATTAATAATTTATTATTTAGGCATAAAATATTTTATTAATAATTTTATCATTATCTTATAAAGTAAGTATTAAATAAAAGAATTATGTATATTTATTGTCTTGAAAACATGAAAACTAATATTTAATAATTTTTATTTAATAATTAAAATTAAGCATACAATAGACATTAGTGAAAAAAGGTCTTTTATGTCAATTGAAAAAGCTTTTAACATCGTTTAGTGAATTGATGTAAATACAAATAATATGGAAAATTTTATATTGGTTAACTAATTTACATAGATAATGTATATGTTTTATATCAATTCTTTAACTAATTGACACAGAAAATGTTATTCCTCTTATTTATCAATGATGTTAGTCTTCCTCTTATATTTTATTAAATAATTTTTTAGTGGTGCTAATGTTTATTAATGTTAATAGC